ACCTAGTCCAAATCTATCAAACATCTTTACTCTTTCTTGCCTGGAATCTGAAGAAGTGATTTTGTGGAAAGGGACGAAAATGTGTAACATAAAGTTGGGGTAACGTTCGCTATTTGATTTGACCAATGAAAGATAGAAGTCCACTCCACCCCTTCTAATTCTGCACTTAAAACCCGGTGGCACATGAGGCATTTGGTACTTTATGGCACAGTTGCAGGTGGCACCATGACAGGCGCCAATTTGCCCATCAGGTGTCTTGTTTGCTCGTTTGTCCCTATACCATAAAAGAGTAGTTTTAAAGTGCAGTCAGTGACAGCTGATACCTGGCACGGCCTCCTCACCATTCCGACCGACAGAGCGAACTTGGTCATAGACCATCGCGTCCATGTCGGCCAGAATGTCGAAGGCTGTCAAGGACCGTAGCCGCCTCATACGAGATCGTACGATAGCTCCGTACGATCCGTATGGCCATCAACCGCTGCAGGCCTCTGAGTACAGCCAAGCAAGGGGGAGCCACCATAGAGGACAATGAATCGCACGACGCCCATGTAATTCTTCCCGTAATCCCCTGAGATTGGACAGCAGGCGATGCAGAGCACCCGCTACCCCCAGCACTCGGGGGACTAATCTCTCGAAATGCTCTTCGAAGCGTCACCGACTGTCCAGGATGAGGTCTAAGTACTTCATGTACCGGCCCACCTGGACTAAAGGGACTATTTGTCCCTATTTGACTCCAAGTCCACTATTTGACTAGAAAAAATAGCCTAAGTTACTCCTTATATAGACAGCTACTTGGTAGTAAAATATTATCAAAATCGGTACAGCCGTTTTGAAGATTACCTGGCACAAACAGACAGACAGACAAAACATATTTAAACTGTGTTTTAAGCATAGGTATCGTGCAAAAACCGTCTAAGCATGAAAAAAAACCTATTATTTGACATTACTAACAGACACTTCAATTCGATTATAAATTCTATTATAATCTGTATGTATTTAAAAATATATAAGTATGTTTATCAGCAGTCTGGTTACCATAGTACAGGCTCTGCCTAGTTTGGGATCAGACGGCCGTGTGTGAGATGTGTTAGGTATATGTGAGGTATATATTTATTTATTTATTTGTATAGATTACAAAAGCGATGCTGTGGTATCTATAGGCTCTCCTATTGTTTGTCAATACTGCTCAGCTCTAAAATGGAAACATGAGTCCAAGGGTCTTTTGTCCAAGGGTTGTTCCAATGGTAAAATTAAACTAGACGACATAGTTGCGCTACCAGATCCTTTAAAATCACTCCTTGAAATTTAAAAAAACGCAGAAATTTGGAATAGGGATAAATTATAGCCTGGAATAAGACATAGCCTACTTTTAATCCCTGGAATAGGTTCCCATGGGTTGCGGGCACGGGATCATAATTTCATGATTACTTTTGGTCGCAATAACCGACATCCACGCGGGCCGCGGGCATCAGCTAATCTATACTAATATTATAAAGCTGAAGAGTTTGTTTGTTTGTTTGTTTGAACGCGCTAATCTCAGAAACTACTGATCCGATTTGAAAAATTCTTTCAGTGTTAGATAGCCCATTTATCGAGGAAGGCTATAACTCCAAAAACGGAGAAAATTTATTACTATTGAGAGACGCAGACGAAGTTGCGCGGGTCAGCTAGTATATTATAAACTAGCTGACCCGCGCAACTTCGTCTGCATCAGTCAATTAGTAATAAATTTTCTCCGTTTTTGAAACATTCTTCATTGGTGCTCCGCTCCTATTGGTCTTAGCGTGATGATATATAGCCTATAGCCTTCCTCGATAAATGGGCTATCTAGCACTGAAATATTTTTTTAAATCGGACCAGTAGTTCCTGAGATTAGCGCGTTCAAACAAACAAACAAACAAACTCTTCAGCTTTATAATATTAGTATAGATGTAAGTTTGTTTTTTGGTTGTTACGCTTTCACACGTAAACCAATAAACCGATTTTAAAAATTCTTTCACTAATGGAAAGCAACATTATCAGCGAGTAACATATACTACTTTTTACCGCGATAACTGAGACACGAGTGCGCAGCCGCCGGCAAAAGGCGGTAAGCTCTATGGATGAAAATTTTGAAGGAGAACGGATCGGACTGACCGTTGCCTGACCCGTATTCCACATTTTAGACATCTATGTATCAGGCGGCGTCAGTCTGCAGGGGTTCTTGGTATTTTCATCGTTAGGGTTTCTGTTAGAGTTCTCTGCAATAAACTCACTTGAACACCGTGTGGTTTTAGTCGGTTCTTGTTCGAATACCTACCACCTTACCCTTGGCTCTTCCTCTGTGCCTTGTTCGCAAACAAGGTTGGGCCTACTACGATACGGCTGAACTTCGATTTTAACGTGTGGCGACTGCCACCAGACCTCCACAACCCAAGTACAATATTAAAGTTCTGTAGAACATAGTTCTGTATAAAAGTCCAACCATAGTCATGGTTGGACTTTTATTTTATTCTAGCTGACCCGCGCAACTTCGTCTGCGTCTCTCAATAGTAATAAATTTTCTCCGTTTTTGAAACATTCTTCATTGGTGCTCCGCTCCTATTGGTCTTAGCGTGATGATATATAGCCTATAGCCTTCCTCGATAAATGGGCTATCTAACACTGACAGAATTTTTTAAATCGGACAGGTAGTTCATGAGATTAGCGCGTTCAAACAAACAAACAAACTCTTCAGCTTTATAATATTAGTATAGATTCATTTATTTTTAATATTTAGGGCTCCAACTACCCTTAACGCTTGTTAGATTTTCTTTTTTATTTCTTTTTTTTTAAAAAGGCTTTCCCGCATTAGGAATGTATCCTGTGTCACCGGGGGACTTTACAAACATACATGAAACGGATACAAAGAACACCCCCAGACTCAGAAAAACAAATTGTGGGTCACAAAAAGTGTCGTCCCATGTGGGGATCGAACCCACAACACTCAGCGTAGTAGGAAGCGGCGTGGCGACCGCTTAAACAACAACACCATCCGTGCAGTCGAAGATGTTCGTATGGAAACCAGGGCTAACGGCTCAACGTGCTCTCCGAGGAACTCAATGTGTTTAGAGCGGTCACCCATTCGTAGACCGATTTGGCTAGAATTGCTTTACTTTGCAATGTGTTCAACTACTCGGTTACTACGTAGTTACGAGTCCCATGTCAACCTTGGCTCTGGTGGCCCGAAAAAAGGAGTCACCACATGTCTGGAGAATTAAAAGAGTGACCGTGAGATTCATTGCTCAGTAATCTATGGCTGCTTGTTGATAACTATACTGTGACAAGCCATTAAGCTGCAGTGTTGCCAAACTAGTGGATTTTCCACTAAAACTGGTGGTTTCGATCCCCCTTTCAGTGGCGAAATATTTATTTTAGAATTAATGATGTAGGCTTTGTACTAGAGTTTGTACTAGAGAGAGGTGAAGGTTCCGAATTCAAGAGAGAAGTCAATAATGAGGGCTACGGCAAACTTCGTTAGAACTCACAGACAGAATTGGGTTTGAACAGACTAGCGAAATAGTTAAAGTTCGACTCTTGGTTTGATGATCCAGTTGACTTCACATCAACAGCCTATAATAGTCCACTGTTGGACATAAGCCTCTCCTTAGAAAGGAGGTTTTGGCCTACTATACCACGCTGGCCAGACGGGTTGGTATAAGGTTCGTGTCAAGTTTTTCTTCTCTCTGCAGTGCTGTTGTCCTGCGTAGTTAACTCCCTTAGTCGGCTCTTACGACACCCACGGGATGAATTGGGGTGGTGACGCTCTGTATTCTTAATCCGTCACCACACGGATAACCAATTGACCTACTAAAGAGAAATGAAGATTGATATTAATCAAGACAATGATAGGTCGAAACTCTTTCGGTTAATGTCTATCTACGCCAAACGTGTTAAGGAACATCCATACATACATACTGGCAGTATTGTACTTCAAAGATGACCAAGGGAATTCGAGGATCCCTCTCGTTGCCTATATTGCAAGATTGACTGGCTTTTGTTTCCTCTATACTTATACCTCTAATAAAAAAAACAAGCAGAGGAATAAACTGAAGATAAAACTTTTATCTGCCAAGTTAAGAATACGAAATTCCAATAAGCGTTCTAATACAAATCCGTACTAAAGATTCGCACCAATCTGAAATCGACGATTATAGTGTAGACCAAAACGATTCATCTAACTATTCTAACTAAGTTGGATTCATTTAAAATAGGTACTGTAGTTATTAAATATTTTTTACGGCTTAATCTTGCCTTGTTAATTTACTATTTTTGGATATAACTCCTTAAGAATCGATTTTCATCTACGACGCACGGTATGAAAAAATATGAAGAGTAAAATTTAGTGATCGAATGACCTCGTTGCGTTTTTTGTGCGTGACCTGTTGTGCACACCTTTCACATGTGAGTGCATAAGAAACCGGTGTTAAGCAATTCTTTCGTTGCCTGTCACTGAGTGGGTGAGGTTACCGAAGCCCAATCCCTCCTCCCGCTGACTCGAGCGGGAGGGACTCCAATGGCGGCAACGCACTTGTGACTTTTGAGTTGCAGGTGTCCCTCGGCGGGGGTAGGTGCTTACCATCAGGTGACCGAAAAAATAAATTGTGTGCAGCCGAATCGTTCTTAATGAATAAACTCCAGTCGTGAGTCGGAGCTGATATGTTGATTTATTGATCGTTAATATTAGTATTGCGTAATAATAACGGAAAGTAATGATTAATGTACTTATTGTTAACTTTCGTAATAACTAAAAAAATGTTCAGTGAAAACTATTATAGTAGAGCCGTTTTTCGTTAGTGGTTTTCTGGTAGTTTCAGATGTTGAATCTGGTGGAGAGTTGATTTAACTGTTGGCAACACTACTAAGCCAGTGCCTGCCTACTGCGTCCATGTTCTTGTCAGTCGTGGTCGTGGACGAATTCGCGTCGCGTTGTGTATACGTAATTTTGTGTCTGAATCGTTTGTAAAGAAAAATAAATAAACATGTCTCAAGTGAGTACCGGTTTTACGATATTTGTTAACTTTCAATCGCTTTTATAATAAATCAATGTATTTAACATCAAATTTTGTATATTCAATGTATTAAACTGTGTTAAAAGATTGGATAATCCGTTGAAAAGTATTTCATAGCTATTTTTAAATTATTTATTTTACAAAAGCATACTGGTATGTGATAATACCGAACATTGTCGAACTGTTTATCATTTTGTAGAAGTTTTTTTACCTTAGTATACACTATAAAGTAGTAAAGTACATACGGATACAATTATCTATTAGCAGATTATAAGTAGGTACATGTTACGTAATTTCATTAGGTAGGTACAACCGGTTATTTATTTGTGAACGCTAAGGTACATATTTCTTTGGTTGTACGTCATAAAAACTTATGCTATTAATAATAATTGTCGAAATTAGGTATTGTTTGGTTTTTAAACGACTTCAATTGTCCCCGAAGATAGAAAATTTAGGAATGAAAAAAACGGTTTATTCAGTTCGTTATATTAAAGTGTTATTAAAGTTTAGTTATATTAAGATACTTTTTGCCTCGCACAACCATTCTGTGGAATGGGTTATCGTCTGCGGTGTTTCGGGCCGTAACGACCTTCAAAACTTCAAGAAAAGAGCGTAGGTACTTATTCCTAAAAGGCCGGTAACGCGTTTGTGACTCCTGAGTTGCAGACGTTTATGGGCCTCTCGTTATAAAGGAGGATTTGGCAACGCTGGCCGCACGGGTTGATATAGGGTTTGTTTCAAGTTTTCCTTATATAATTGTGGGCTGTTGTCCTGCATAGTTTGCTCCATTAGTCCGATTTAGTCAGCGATGAATACGGGTGGTGCCACTCCGTATAATCCGTCACCACACGAATCATATATACTTAAATATATAAGGTGTTTATAGATGAAAAATAACAATGTTTTGAAACATTGCACAGCGCAAAGGGCATACTCGGGATTTCTTTCACTGTAGAGCAAAACAATGGAAGTAAATAATATTTCTTAGTTTATAGTATTTATTTTAGCAAAAGCCTTTTTTCGTGATATAGGGGGTAAACGAGCAGAATGGCCTGATGGTAAGTGTATACCACCGCTCGTGGACATCTGCAACTCGAGAGACACTGGTGCGTTGCCGCTTTGTGACTCTGTCTGTGAGTTTAGGGGCCGACAGTTTGTACCAGGGACTTCCTTTCTAGGGTATACCTGGTTCCCCGGCTATTAGTACCCGAGACGGTTTTAGTCGGTTCGTGTCCGATATGCCACCGACAGGTGGTATCCGTGGGGATTTATGCACAAAAAAAAAACAAAAAGGGGCCGGCAGTTTATGTCTCCGGAACCTCATTGATTCCGTGAAGAGTTTCTTAATGCCGGTTTTCTGCGAGGCCACCTGACCCATATATGCGGCAGAATGTCTCTGTTGTGGAATGGAAGGTATACCTAATTTTTTCCGCTCTCAACGCAGCTTCACGTAAACGGTTATGTATTTAATATTTTGGAAGTATTTAACCAGGGCCTCAATTCTGCTATTTTATATTAACGCCAAGCCACTGGCATTCCATGGTCACGCTATTGAGACGCCATTGACATTGGTCAAAATATCAGTATTCTACTAACATAAATTCGCAGTGTCAATAGACTGTCGATATAGTAATATAGGTCATCAATGGTGATATCAACAACATTGCAATATATAGTAAATTAAATATATCATTTTCTAACAAATTTAAAATGTACCGTTTACCAAACTGTTACAAAGGCATCGACGACATTTGTATCAGTGACAAGTCACGGGCAGGCCATTGGTCTTACATAGTTAGTTGATTAGGAAAGGTGCAGAACTATTCCAACGACATTCCATCGACAGTCTATTGATACAATATTAAAATAGCAGAATTGAGGCCCTATTTGGTTAGCAGTTATCCATCAATGGCCACGGCCTTGTAAAGCGCTATTAACACCTAAATTTAAAAATAGCTTGTATCGTGGCTTCTAGAATACATGCGAATTTTTGCGTACGAAAACATAGATATATTCGTATTGTGTATTACGGGTTTCGCGATAAAAAGCCCCATTATTGATTCCCCATACAAACTTCCACCATCCTTTTCAACCCCTTAAAGGATGATTTCTTTGATAAAAACTATCCTATGTCCTTTCCCGGGACTCAAACTATTTCAGTCCGAAATTTCATCGGAATCGGTTCAGAAGTTTAAGCGTGAAGGATAACAGACAGACAGACACACTTTCGCCTTTATAATATTGGTATGGATACATGTTGATGTTTGAGGGTACGGTTTTCCAGACGACAGCCAGTTCCAGTCACAGGTATTCTACCCTGACCTATTCTATTGCTGACACTTCTCCAATGAATAAAATGCAATATCGAAATAATGAACGTAATATAATGCTGAATAGCTTACAGGTCTTGTGTCAACTAGAGTAAATTTACGTTGAATGTCGGGGCACCAGGGACTTCCTTTCTAGGGTATACCCGGTTCCCCGGCTATTAGTACGGTGCGGTTTTAGTCGGTTTGAGTCCGACATGCCACCGGTGGTATCCGAGGGGATTTCCGCACGGAAAAAAAAGGGTGAATTTACGTGCGATGAAATCAAATATAGCTCACTTAGGACCCATAATACTTTGTGGCCGTGTTTAAAAGGGGGTATGCCTATTTTACTTCATTTTGTCTCCTGCTTTGCTAAGGAGGGAAGTGGATTTATTATATTTCCAACCCCTCAAATTTCTTCTGATTATTTTCGTTGCGGGTTCCAAGACAGTTTAATTTTTTCCTGGGACTTCCCGAGTATCATAACTCGGTGTGTTCGTAGGTCACTACTGTTGATTCTGGTATACAGGAGTTACAGTGGTGGGCGTGTGGGAGGGTAGAGTTCCTTTAAAAAAAAAAGGAAATATCCCGTGCCTACCATTGCTCTCACATCTTACTTACTATTCTCTTAAATATTGTGTGATGAGCACGGTCATTTGTTCTGTGTTGGGTGTAATTTATCTATAATATGTATGTATTTAGAAATATATAAGTACGTTTATCAGCAGTCTGGTTACCATAGTACAGGCTCTGTCTAGTTTAGGATCAGACGGCCGTGTGTTCCATTGGTGAAAGAATGTTTAAAATTGGTTTAGTGGTTTAGGCCTGAAAGCGCAACAAACAATCTCACTCATATTTATAATATAAAGTGTGGATTTGGTTTTCTTATCAGATTATATTATCGAAAGCAGTTTGAATTATGGCGGGTTTTATAATGATGGCTTATTTGCCTACGTCTTCACGTACTTATCATATCTATAAAAATCCAAGTTGTACCTTTATTATACGTTATAAAGATATTATAAAGATCATTAAAATACAATATAATTTATTAATTGACAATCGTGTTCAATTTTTCGTCAACAACATTTAATAGTCCAATGCTGGACATAAGCCTCTCCTAAGAAAGGAGGTTTTGGCCTACTATACCACGCTGGCCGGACGGGTTGGTATCAATTTTAGTAGCTAATGTTACGTAAATAAACTGCCTCTACTTTACTGGTTTTAAATACTGTATACCAATACAAAAAAAACATCGATACATCTCACACACTCGGATTAAGAATATGGAGTGTCACCACCCTTATTTATCCAGTGGGTGTCGTAAGAGCCGATTATGGGAGCAAACTACGCAGGACAGCACTGCAAAGAGAAGGAAAACTTGAATCAAACCCTATACCAGACCGTTTGGCCCGCGTGGTATAGTATAGTAGGCCGCAACCTCCTTTCTAAGGAAAGGCTTATGTCCAGCAGTGGACTATTAAAGGCTGTTGATAATGATGACTCATGTGGAGGAACAGGTGTCATGTCCAGCACAAATAGGTGATCCTTTGATCGGTTGATATTCGGAAGTTGTCTGTATGCTAATCGGCGAGAAAATTGTTCATATCGCGATACAGGATTAGCAGTAACTCCCTAGTTCGGTGTGTCTTCGTTAGATGGCGCTGTAGTTTGTTTCTTCGTTTTACTATATGTGGAAGTTGCCGCATCACTCCTCTCCAAGAAGGTCGATCTATGATGAGTCAGCTATAACAGATAATTTTAGACCATTGTTCAAATTTTTTGTTTGAGTTTTTTTTGTGTGTTCATGGGTCGAAAGGTTATCAGTATCATTTCATAATCGTATGAGTTATTATTTTGTTGAAAGAAACAATATATAAGACACTTTCCTTTGTTTAAACACGATAATAAAAAGATATGAATTATCTATACTAATATTATAAAGCTGAAGAGTTTGTTTGTTTGTTTGAACGCGCTAATCTCAGGAACTACTGGTCCGATTTGAAAAATTCTTTCAGTGTTAGATAGCCCATTTATCGAGGAAGGCTATAGGCTATATATCATCACGCTAAGACCAATATGAGCGGAGCACCAATGAAGAATGTTTCAAAAACGGAGAAAATTTATTACTATTGAGAGACGCAGACGAAGTTGCGCGGGTCAGCTAGTAATTGATAAGGACGGAACGATATCTCAGCAATAACGCCAAGATGGCCGGATGCCGTAGTAGTTTAAGTGGTCACCACGCCGCTTACTACTACGCTGAGTGTTGTGGGTCCGATCCCCACATGGGACGACACTTTGTGTGATCCACAAATCGTTGTTCTGAGTCTGGGTGTTATTTGTATCCGTTTCATATATGTTTGTAAAGTCGCCCACGACACAGGAATTTTCCTAATGGAGTTGTCTTTAAAAAGAAAAAGAAAAAAAAACCGACTTCTAAGCGTCTCGAGTTCGATTCCCACTCTCAAATATTTGTGTTTATAAACATTTTAATGTTTGATTTGGCTTGGTTATTTATATATAATAGGTCTTTACCTATGAAATTGCCGTTTTGTATGCAATAAGTAAAAGTACTTATTTTTTCAAACTTATTTATTTCTGTTATTTGAAGTAATCACCCATGCAATCGACGCATCTTTGCCAACGCATTGGCAGTTTATTGATGCCCTTCTTGTAAAAATCAGCTGGACGGGAGGCAACAAACTCTTCAAAGGCATTTTGTACTGCCTCTCGGGAATTGATTTTTTTACCCACTAAAAAGTTGTCTAAATTTTGGAAAAAGTAATAATCGGTAGGTGCAAGGTCTTTGTCTTTGAAAAAATAAGTACTTTCACTTATTGCATACAAAACGGCAATTTCATAGGTAGAGACCTAATATAATATGTATGTATTTAGAAAAAATGATTTTATATCAGTTGTCTAGCACCTATAGTACAAGCTCTGCTTAGTTTGGGACTAGATGGCGTTGTGTGAATGTGGTACAATATTGTTTATTTATTTTTATATTATCTTATGATGTGCATGTGTAATATCGCTAATGAGAAGTCTAGTTACCGGAGGTCGTAGGTATGATTACCACCCAGGACATATATTTGCTTGATAAGCACAATTTGTTCTGAGTCTGGGTGGAATTTACCTTTTTTTTATCTACCACATTCACACAACGCCATCTAGTCCCAAACTAAGCAGAGCTTGTACTATGGCTACTAGACAACTGATATAAATACATATATACTTTTTTTTTGTAAATACATACTTATTATACAGAAACACCCAGACCAAATCAAACATTAAATATTCATGCACCCAAATGTTTGACTTGAGCGGGAATCGAACCCGCGACCATTGGAATAGCAGTCCGTTACACAAACCACTACGCCATTCGGTCGTCATATAATATGTATGTATGTATTTAGAAATAAGTCCCAGCTTTTCCCTGCGGCTCCGCCCGCGTGTGTCGGTTAACAATTACCTATGTTACTCGCTGATAATTTAGCTTTCCATTGATGGTGTGGTGACGGATTAAGAATACAAATTGTCACCACCCCTATTCATCCCGTGGGTGTCGTAAGAGCCGACTAAGGGAGCAAACTACGCAGGACAACAGCACTGCAAAGAGAAGGAAAACTTGAAACAAACCCTATACCAACCCGTCTGGCCAGCGTGGTATAGTAGGCCAAAACCTCCTTTCTAAGGAGAGGCCTATGTCCAACAGTGGACTTGTATAGGCTGTTGATGATGATGGTGATGATTGATGGAAGAATTTTTAAAATCAGTTTAATGGTTTTGGCGGAAATACTAATATTATAAATGACAAAGTGAGTCAGTCTGTCCGTCTTTCTGTCTGTCTATCATTTACCTCTTCACGCTTAAACCGCTGAACTGATTTAGACACAATTATTTGTTCTGGGTGGGATTCGAACCCACGATCTCTGATTTAGCAGTCAGGATCCAGACAACCAGCCCCACTGGCCAGTCTTTGGCATTTTATAATGTTAAGAGGTCCATTCGCTTCCACTTCTAAGTATATATAGATAGTTCAACTCAGTTGTGCGCGCGGCAGTGACGCGGTGCTCGGACGACGACTGCCACACGAATGAAAGTTGTATATTTACAAGCCCACGCACACATAGGGCCGCGCGCACAACTGAGTTGATTTTGATCTATATTTTCTCTGTAGAAATAATATGTTTTTTTATGATATGATGTAATTAATTATTGTTTTCGTATATGGAACAAGTTTTCTGAAATAAATTGTATTATTATTATTCTCTTTATTTCATTAAATATACATATAAATTACATTTTTAAATATATTTATATACAAAAACAAGAAAAAAAATACATTTAAAAATATTATTTTATTATTACGACTCGACGACGACTCAACAGAGAGTACGTTTGTACACTGTTGTCACGTTGTATTTCTTATATGGTAATAAACATTTTTTATTTATTTTATTTATTTATTATTATTATTATTTTCTGTTTCAGGTCAAGATTCCAACCTTTAAATTAAACAATGGAAAAGAATTACCAGCATTGGGATACGGCACTTGGTTGGGACTCGACGAAAAAGTAAGATAAAATAATTAGATCCTAGAAAACTCTAGAGACTATCAGAGCGTTAAAAAAAATAGCGTCCAACTGTTGGCTACTAAGTGTGTAGTTGTGTGTCATTTGCGTTATCACTGTCACTATTAACGCACGACTTGCAGCGAGTGTTTTGTAATGAGCTAGTGAGACACTCCATCTAAATAGATACATACATAAATTATTAAAACGTGGAGAATATTCTTGTGCCCCTTTTAAAAAAAATATGGCGTACTATATTCTAGACGTACGCAGTAATAATACTTTGACATATCTGACACCACACGGTCGTCTAATCCCAAATTAGCCAGACCCTGTGCTATAGTATCCAGACTGCTCATAAATATCCATACTTAATATTATAAAGTACTAGCTGACCCGCGCAACTTCGTCTGCGTCTCTCAATAGTTATAAATTTTCTCCGTTTTTGAAACATTCTTCATTGGTGCTCTGCTCCTATTGGTCTTAGCGTGATGATATATAGCCTATAGCCTTCCTCGATAAATGGGCTATCTAACACTGAAAGAATTTTTCAAATCGGACCAGTAGTTCCTGAGATTAGCGCGTTCAAACAAACAAACAAACTCTTCAGCTTTATAATATTAGTATAGATTATAAAATATGTGAAAGTTTGTCTGTATGTCTATATGTTACCTCTTCACGCTGAACTGATTCAGATGTAATTTAATTTAGAGATAGTGAGAGTCCCGGGAAAGAACATGGGACAGTTTTTATCCCAGAAATCATCCTTTAAAGAGGTAAGAAGAGGGGAGAAAGTTTGTATGGGCCATCAATAACCGCTAAACCGATTTAAATCAAACTTGGTATGGACTACTGGGCCAAAGGTTATGCGTTCGATTTGTACTAAATAAAAATTGGTCCTGATCATGGTCATTTGTTCTGTGTCGTAATTTGTATATAATATGTGTGTATAAGGAAGTAAATAAGTATGTTTATCAGCAGCCTGCTTAAAATAGCACATATTAAATGTGTGAGGTGTAAAATAATATTGATTGTTTATTTTCAGTTCCAACTATATTACGACGACATCCCAAAGATGGAAGAAGCATTATCCTATGCTATCGATATAGGATACCGACACGTAGACACAGCACACCTCTATAAAGTAGAGCCACAAGTCGGGCAAGTCGTCAACAAGAAAATTCAAGATGGCGTCGTAAAAAGGGAAGATCTTTTTATTACTACAAAGGTATGTACACTTCGGTAATAATCTTTTTATATTCTGAGGCTATTGCAAATAAAAATACACGTAAAAAAAATTGATTAAAATAGGAAAATAAATGTTTTTTCGATTCGAAAAGTTCCGATTATATATCTATATTGTATGTATATCCACAATATATGTTTATATTATATATAGTTATATTATCAATGTTTTTCAACCCAAACTCAACTCTCGTGTAAACGGGGCCAATATATGTAGATACATACAGGGGTGTCGGTAACGGTAACACTGTCGCGAGATCAATGGGTTTTTTCCCATCTCAAAAAATACATTCTTTTGTTTGTGCCTTACAGCAGACAGCTTACTTAAAATTTGAAGGCCAACTTTATTACCGTGCGCGCTGATCAGTGACTGAGTGAAATAATCAGTGGACAGGTTGGCATAGGGTTTGTGTCAACTTTTTGAGAGGGTGCTTTCTGCCCGCATCGTCCGGCACCTTTGCGAGGTTGGCCCCGATCTGTCGGACGCCCAATTCGGTTTCCGAGCGGGGCGTTCGACGATCGATGCCGTAATGCGCCTTAGGGCCGTGACCGAGGAGGCCGTGAGCTGCGGCGGAGTGGTGTTGGCGGTGTCCTTGGACATCGCCAACGCCTTCAATAGTCTGCCATTCAGCTGCATCAGGGAAGCGCTCCGCTACCACGGAGTGCCGGAGTACCTGAGGCGGCTGGTGGCAGACTACCTTGAGGAGCGAACCGTCATGTACGAGGACCGAGATGGCGTCTTGAGACGCAGGGCCATGTCGTGCGGTGTTCCGCAGGGGTCTGTCCTAGGACCACTCCTGTGGAACATTGGATACGACTGGGCCCTACGAGGGCGTCTCCCCCCCGGGCTGGGTGTACTCTGCTACGCAGATGACACTTTAGTCACGGCCCGGGGGGCTAACTTCCAGGAGGCGGCGCGCCTGGCCGCCACGGGAGTTTCCCAGGTGGTCGGGCGCATTGAGGCGTTGGGATTACGGGTGGCCCTGGATAAGACGGAGGCCCTATTATTTCATGGGCCCCGTCGTGGTCCGCCCGCCGGCGCCTCAATCGAGGTCGGCTCGGTCCTCGTACCGGTCCGGGCCCAGATGAGGTACCTGGGTCTGGTCCTAGACGGTAGGTGGCTCTTCGACGAGCACTTCCGACAGCTTGGTCCGAAGCTGGTGGACACTGCCTCCGCCCTAGGGCGACTTTTGCCCAATTTGGGCGGGGCCAGTGTTCCCACGAGGCGGCTGTACGCGGGGGTTGTCCGGTCCATGGCGCTTTATGGTGCACCGGTGTGGGTGGCGGCTCTGACCGCCCCGAATAGGGCGCGCCTCTGGCGCCCCCAGAGGATATTGGCGGTCAGAGCCATACGCGGATACCGCACGGTGTCCACCGCCTCCGCTTGCGCCTTGGCCGGAACTGCGTAGTTTGCTACCTTAGTCGGCTCTTACGACACCTACGGGATGAATTGTGGTAGTGACACTCCGTATTCTTAATCCGGCACCACACGGACACACATATTAATAAATTGCATTTATTTTAACGCTTTTAAGGTCTGGCAAAATTTCCACCGCGAGGCTGATGTGGAGGTATCAGTTCGAGGCTCTTTGCGACGCAGCAACCTGGAGTATTTCGATCTGGTGCTCATGCACTGGCCTATGTCTGTTTCGGTAAGTTGCCAGTATCAATAATAGAAATTATAAACAATAAATATTATGAGACCTCGTGGCTAAGTGGTAACCGAGTTGGTTAACACATCACAAAGTTAAGCAATCACGGCCAGGTCAGTCTATAGATTGGTGACCATTTTTAAGATTCCGACGAATTGAGAACCTTCTCCTTTTTTGAAGTCGTTTTAAAAGTCCGACAACAGTTTTATTACAGAATTTCGATATCATTTCGATACATTGAGTGAGACCCCTTCGTGAATCGGAGAGCACAAAATTTTCTCTTTAATACTTTATGGTGCCCTTAGGGGATTCCATTACTATGGTTAGACAGTATGCTATTTATCAAGTTTGTTATAAGACCTTGCAGAACAATCCCCCAATCCGTGATGGAAAGTTTTGAGCTCACGAAGTTTGATCGGAATTGGGCTGAGTATACTCGACCAGTAAGAAGACCTAGCTGCACGCTGGTCACATCATACAGTAAATTTTCAGTGTGAAGGGATTCATAACTCACCCCGGAATCATTGCTCCTGAGTTAGTTAAATCCTGTCACATAGATTATATTGTTTTTTTGGATTTAAATCTGTATAAAAAATCAGTTGGTTGGCCTATTGGTCTAGCTGTTAATGATTCTGACTGTTAAGCCACAGTCATATGATTAATGAATCCCGGGATTTTCGGGATTGATACATTTTTTACATAAGTCAATAAAAATGTGCGTAAAAAGAAACGCCCTTGCCTTGATTTGATGTATTGACAGCCATCTTGTCTACACAGCTGATTTCATTTGTTTTTGCTAATGACCGGTGCTGGATTATGCGTAAAAGTGTGTAATTTATAAAGTTTCTGGGCAATTTAATTAAAAAATATGAGTAGGTATCTATAAACATTGGTCTCTTAAGCATATAGTTTTTTTTTATAGTTTATCTAAATAAGTCTAAAGATGATTTTTTGAAGTTTATTGTTAGTTTCATAAATTATTTACCGAAACACAAAACAAACTAGGCACTAGTTTGTTTATTTTATAAGAAGAAAGTATAATTATGTTTAACCGCCTTTTTGGAGATTTAAAACTTAAATATTCTATGTCCTCACAAATCTAAATGATAAACAAAAAAATATTTTGATATGTTTTACTGTCTTTTTGTTACCACTTTCCATTGCCAAAACAATCCCGGGACTATCCCGGGATCCCGAGATTAACTGTAGATAATCCCGAAATCCCGGGATTATAAAAATCGACCGGGATCGAATCCTCTAGCCACAGGTAGTGGGTTCGATTTCCACCCAGAACAAATAATTATGTGACGAGCACAATTATTTATTTTGTGTCTGTGTTTAATTTATCGCTAACATTTATGTTTTTAGTAATATAAGTATGTTTATCAGCAGTCTGGTTACCATAGCACAGGCTCTGCCTAATTTGGGATCAGACGGCCGTGTGTGAGATGTGTGAGGTTATCTATTATATTAATACATGAAGCGAAAACTTTGGACCCGTTATTAAGAAAATTGCTTTGAAATTGGATGAACGTGAAATGTGACAGAGTTAAAGTTTATATGGAGAAGAATTGATGATAGAAATATATTATAACCATGATAAAATCTTTGATTATGGAGTTATAGTCTTTGACAAAAGGACCAAGATAAAGTTGAAACTTAAAAATTTAATGAATTATGGTCCAATTTCGACCACTGGGCGACCACTAGTTATTATTAATTTCTCACTTTAAATCAAACAGCAATTAATCCCGAATATTATACAAAGATGGCGCTATTTCTTCTTTTTAGGTTGACGAGGTAGATGAGAAAATTGACTATTTGGAGACTTGGCGTGGATTCGAGAAAGTTCTAGAGAAAGGTCTGGTCAAGTCCATCGGCGTGTCGAACTTCAACTTGGAACAGATGAAAAGATTATTGGATAACTGCAAGGTTACGCCCGTTTGCAATCAAATAGAGGTAAGATAACTCTCACTTATCACTCATATGATTCATTGTGTCTGGGTGTAATTTATCTATAATATGATCATATTTCCTCCTTTCGTCTTAAATTAAATTGGCTCCCAATTCGTCAGCGTCGTCACCTGCGGGCACTAACGACTCTCTACACTATTCTCAACTCTCCTAACTCGCCTACATACTTGACATCCTCCTTCCAGTTCTTGTGCTCCAATCATAACAGAACCCTTCGCTCTACAAATAATCTATAGAAATATATAAGTATGTTTATCAGCAGCAATTTGGTTACCACAGTGACTTGTCATAGTTTGGAACCAGACGGTCGTGTGAGACGTGTGTCATTAACTCTTTGTTATTTGCGATATAAATTTCATACCGCGGTCTCACAGAAACTCGGTCTAAATGTGGCGTCATCTGCTTGTGGTTAAGTGGTACCTATTCGAGGTTAACACATTGCAAAGTTAAGCAATCCCAGTCAGACTATTGATGGGTGACCATTTTTTTACTGAGAGTTGGTCTTAAAAAGTCGGATAACATTTTTTTCTATAGAACTTAGAAGATATCATCTAGTATTTGGGTGTATACTGCCATTTTTGATAGTAATGACACAAGATTAAAAAAACCCCGATAAAGAAAACAGTATAAAGCCCAAACATGGTATGGACTACTCGATGCAGCAGCAAGTTCCAGTTTACCATGTCGTGCAAATACCATCAAAGTATATCAAATTTCAGATATTTTCGGATTTTAGTGAGATCCATATATCACCTAGGAAGTGAGCTGATGATCTTCAAAACTAATAGCTAAGAACCATCTCGATCACATCGGCTTTCGAACAAAAAATCCGCATCGACATTAATCCATCCGTTCGGGAGCTATGATACCACAGACAGACAGACAGTTACACAGATACACAGGTTAACCTTATAACATCCCTTGTTTTCCGTCGGGGGTTAAAAACAAAGGTTTTAGCACAGTATTCGTATTTTTTTTACATTTAAACTGAACTTGCAATTTTTTTTTTCAGATAAACTTGAACTTGGGTCAAAAAGAGCTCGTAGATTTCTGCCAATCCAATAACGTAGTGGTCGTGGCGTACTCTCCGTTCGGTACCATGGTTCCATCGCGAGCACCTCCCGGTAGTCCCGAGCCGAAGTTGAATAACCCAACCATGGTGGCTATTGGAAAGAAACATGGGAAAACTGTTACACAAATTGCTTTGAGATATTTGGTAAGTTCACTGTGTGGTGACGGACTAAGAATACGGAGTATCACCGCCACTATTTATTCCATATACCAAGCCGTCTGCCAAGCGTAAGCGGTCGCCACGCCGCTTCCTACTACGCTGAGTGTTGTGGGTTCGTCAAATTGTTGTTCTGAACCTTGGTGTTCTTTGTGTCCGTTTCCTGTATGTTTGTAGTCCCCCGCGACACAGGATATATTCCTAATGCGAAAAAACAAAAAAAAAAATACTGGACATAGGCCTCACCTTAGGTTTTGGCCTACTATACCACGCTGGCCAGACGGGTTGGTATAGGGTTTGTGTCAATTTTCCCTTCTTTTTGCAGTATTGTTGTCCCGCATTGTTTGCTCTTTTACGACACCCACGGGATGAATAGAGGTGGTGACATTTCGTATTCTTAATCCGCCACCACACGGAGAAAGGTTGGACTGGGAAATATAAATAATAGTTAAAAGTCGGGTAGTCCGGGGAGATGTATCAATATATATTTTTTTTTCAGTATCAACGAGGGATTGTCAGCATACCAAAGACAATAACAAAATCCCGCGTTTTAGAGAACGCTTCCATTTTCGATTGTGAATTAGATGCAAACGACGTGGCGTCATTGGCGGCGTTCGACAACGGCTACAGAACAGTGAAACCAGTATTCTGGCAGGAATATCAGAATTATCCGTTTGATAAAGTGGATATGAAGATGGAGATCCCATTAGGACTTCGCAATTCTCAACTGATATCAGATTAGTGATTTAATAAATAAGTATTTTAAATGTTTTTATTTAAATAAAATAATATTGTACCACATTCACACAACGCCATCTAGTCCCAAACTAAGCAGAGCTGATTTAATTGTCAGTTTGACAGACAGCCCGTTCGTATTTCGGTAAGCCCGGTAAAAAGTAGCCTATGTTTATCCTCAAAAATCAAAGTATGTATCTAAAATTTATTCAAATCAGTTTAGCCGTTTAGCCATGAAAGTGTAACAGACAGAAAGACTTACTTTCACATTTATAATATTAGTAGGTATTGCAAGAAGTGTTTAGGAATTTGTGTGTGTCCAAGGTCTGACCCCGAAAACAATTGAGTCCAACAGTTGGCCACTAAATTCATTTCTTGTCAGTGTCAATATAATCGAAAATCCACACCAGCACACTGAATTGGAACCATTTGTTTTAGTTTTTTTAATGAATGATCTAAGATTTGTGTGCTCAGAATCGTATTCTGAATTAACCTGCATCGATGAACGACTCATAGTTCACTCATGTACTGTTCGCGAATGATACCCTTCCTGAATGATCCCTTGAATGAAACAATCGGTGCAAATTCGGCACTTAGGACGAAACGTGTTTTCAAATAACAGTTCATCCACGAAGGTTAATTCCGGTTTCTGTTCTGTTGTGGTTATCGGCTGCGGTATTTCCGATACGACCTTCAAGAGAAGAGCGTACTCCTTCCTAAAAGGCCGGCAACGCGTTTGTGACTCCTGAGTTGCAGACGTTCATGGGCGGCGATAGTCATTTTCCATCAGGTGACCTGTCTGCCCCTCTAACATAAAAAAAAAGCTCAGGATTTGTAGCGTGGTGTGTAAATAGTTGTTTTAGAAAGATTTCAAAGTAGAATTGTATTAAATACTTAATAAACTCTAATATTTATCTTCGCAATGCTGCTAATGCTGGTCATAGGCCTCTAATTAGAAAAGAGGTTTGGCCTACCATACTACTGGAACTACAACAAATAAGCGTCTTTTTTTTAAAGAAGTTTATTCAATCTACGAGTATTGTTTTTTCAAATCCTCCCGCTGACTCGAGCGGGAGGGACTCCAAGGGCACTTGTGACTTTTGAGTTGCAGGTGCCCATGGTAGTTGCTTACCGTCTGCTCGTTCGCCCCCTTATACCATAAAAAAAACTAGTTATGACTACTTCATTGTTAATTTCTTGAGCAGGCTCCATGGCTGAGGAATCAAGTGCTATGACCTTGGTAAGTAGTAGGAAACCATAAAAATAAACACTTGCAACACCAGGGAAGTTCTGTAAATGTTGCAAACTACATCTACCAAATCACCTTCCATAGGGATGTTCTCTAACAATCTGCAAGAAATACCGAATGAGTATTTTTTTAAGGACGTCATATAATTCCTTATTTGATTTATCCAGGTGATTATAAAATATTAGGTACACGATTTTCTTTTATGTCTTAACAAGGTTCACCATATAAAGGAGTTAAAGAGAATTCAGCTGTGAAAATTATACCCATGACATAGGAAGGTTTTATTAACTGACAGCACTGAAACGACCAGTGTTGTTACAATAGCGATAGTTTCGCCATTGATAGTTAACCTTGAAAAACATTCGATTGCGCGAAAAGTCCTCTTATAAATATTCTCACACTGCAATACTATCAATGTTTTCGATAGTTCACTTAAGCTATACTATTGAACTATAACGATACTATTTATTCTATCGAATCTATCGACGTACGATACTATCAATTGTATCAATGGTATCACCTCAAAATAGTCAACGCGTTTCGATAGTGTCGATAGTTTTGCTTAGTTAACTATCGACGTATATTCCATATTATCGACTGGATATAAAACCAATTGTCACAAAAATTCAGCATATTTACTGTTTATGAATGATTTTGTGAGCAAACGACGCAATAAATGGCAGCGAAACACAACTGTTATTTATCGAAGACTATGTCGTCGCCCTAGTGCTTATTTGTCCTATCAAAATTGATACATAAAAGTTAAAAAAGACGTACCAGCTTTTTAATTATAAGCACCAAAATTCTTAAATTCAAAGAAATAATACAACACACACTATCATCTCGTCAGTGTGAAGTTTTATATGAACAATCTGTATATTACATTTTGCACTTAGTTAAAATAAGCACGCACAAATAGAACGGTCACTTTGTGCTTCTTCTAATGAAATAAAATCTGTAAAATAATGTACATTTCGTTACCATCAGTAGATGAAAATTTTAACAATCAATTCATTGGTAACTCATGTATTAAGAAAGACTTTTAAATCTTAAAACTGTGACTTTCTTTTCAATAGAGCAAAAAACTGCGTCCTGTAAAATTCAGCCAATGGTAGAGAGGACAAATTAGCACTTAAGTGACGATGTGATATGCATTGATCATTACAAACGGGTTCAAATTTAGCATAATATACAGCAAAGCTCACAGGTAAGTAACATAAATGGTAACACACACGCACTATACTAGCGATAGTACTATAGAAACTATATATATTGATACTGCAGATAGTATCAATATTATTGATCTTCCTATTGAGCAAAACTATTCCTTATTTTTATGAATCAATACCATTGCTTGAATCGATAGTATTATCAACGGCCAATAGTTTCACAATACGATCGATAGCCTATTGCTATCGAAACAACACTAGAAACGACCTTAAATGTCAAAATACAATTTGTAAACAATAATGAAGAATAAATAAATACTGATTGGTATATTATAATCGCGTATATGAGTATTAATGTAACATATATTCTAATAAGTGAAATAATTGCCTTCAGTATCTAGTAATATTAAGTAAACAAAACTAAAATGTCAGACGCCGAAGTTGAAGTCACTCCAACTTTTAAGAAACGTAATTTTAAGAACAGAGGTGGCAGAAAACGTAAAGCATCTAGTTCAGAAGGTAATAACAACTTAAAATGCCAATAAGTACTTTGTTATTTATTTGAAAATCATAGACACTTAATATTTTGAGGTTACGTTATGACGAATGCTAGACTAGCCCCAAAAATATTCATAGTTTCCCAGTGAGAGAATGATAAAACTCAAATATTCATAGTTTCCCAGTGACAGAATGATAAAACTCTAAAATTCACGTTTATATCAAGCAATAGTGAATTGAAGAATCAAATTGTTTTTTGTTTAAAAATGTTTTCGTGTTGTGGTGATATTTTTACTGTTAGTTCGCTGTTAAATTTGTTATCTTAACTAAAAAAGCCTACTCTTCAATTCCTATTTTCAGTTCCAAAACTAGTGAATTGAAAAATTTACTCTGTCTTTTAATCCTCTTTCCAGAAAAGAGTAACTCTAGTTCAGACGATCAAAATGTAGTCATACCTCAGAAGAGGCCACAGAAGAACAATCCCAACATACAGAGTACATCAGGAGGAGGTACAAGAAGTGCTAAACCTCAGATTGATGATGATGATAGTGCCTATAGTGATGAAGAGACAGTAAGTAGCCTATACAGTTGGTTTTTTTAAATTTTAAAATTGCAATTGACATAATATTGATGCACTGTTTTAGGTATATTCATACAGAATTGTTTACTCTTGCTGTGTATTTACCTTCAATTAATTGTGTACTTCGTAATTGGTGTATTGTTTGACTATTACTATGTAAACTATATACTGTCAGCTGTGAAGAACCTAAGTATTAAATAAATAAATAAATAATAAAATCGTCATATGCAATTGTTGCTGTTGGCATCAAGGCGACAACTAAGGTGGGCACTGAAAATCAGTACTGAGGTGGCATCTATCGACCACAGTGTACACTGAGGGTCCACTTGTTTTCTGGTACACGAGACGTACAACCCTCAGCAACATTAAAGGTTTTTTATGATTTAGATTGATAAGTATTAGTTATTATAAGTAACATTTCATAGACCCGTGGTTGGGTATGTGACACATTATGTCAATTCTGTCAGGTTTGAAAGATTGACACATTGAAAAATGTTGTTTTGTCGTGTTTATCAAACCTTACTTGATTTTTAGTTTCATTGTGTATGTTGTTATTTAACTTTTGTTTTATTTTTGTATGTTGTGCCTTATGAAAAAATGTAAAAATTAATGTACAAAAAAGTTTTTTCTATTCTACTACTTTGCTTTAATCAGCAGCTTCACGGCGACTCACTCTTTCAGCCGAACAGGAACCTTGTGTTAAGAATTTATTTCTTGCTCTTTACCAAGAGAGCAAGGTTACCTGAGGCCCAACCCAGGAGAGGTTTAGGTACCCCTCATGTTTAGACCCTCAAAACTTGTATCTCTTGATAGCAATAGTCACTCACCATCAGAAGACCATCTGTTCGTTGATTTCATAAAACAAAATCAGTAAAAGAATTAAGTAGGGTCTACCTATTCAACAGTGACAGTTCCAAAACTATAAGTATTCACAATGTTTTTTTTCTTAATGGTTCCAACAAGCAGACTGGTTACCTGATGGAAAGTGAATATCGCCGCCCCTGAACGTCCGCAACTCAGACCTGTTAGGTAGGAGTACGATCCGGAAATACCGCAGACGGAATTAACTTGTTCCACAGATTAGTAGTGCGAGGCAAAAAGTGGCTCGAAAAGCGCACAGTAGCAGTACAGCTTTGATTTATCAACTTACAGGTTAAACAGCGTACAACATTATCGGTACAACAACAGAGGGAGAATGCTACAGCTACGTATGAACTGGACACAGAGCATGATAAAGATGCACAGGCTATATTTGAGAAAGCACAGAAGATTAATGAGGAGTTACACGGTCAAGCTGATGATAAGGTATGGGTTTATGAATGACTTATGGTTGGTGTCCACACTGTTAACTCTGGAAGTGTTGGGTTCAAGCCCAGGACAGGTAATTGTGTGATAACTATGATCATTGCAATTTATCTATAACTAGTTGATCTTCTCAAAATTAATTAATTTATCCCGTTTTTGCAACAATTTTTATTTACACACCTATTATTTGACATTACAAACAGGCACTTCAATTTAATTTATTTGTATATAGGTATGTATTTGAAAATATTTAAGTATGTTTATTAGCAGTCAGCAGTCTGGTGTGAGATTGGCACTGGTATAGCAATCTCTTCATTACGAGGAAATGCTTAAATCTTTCACTGATGTTTCAGGTATACCGAGGTATAAATAATTATGCTCAATATTATAAGAAGAGAGATACCGCTGCTGGTAATGCCAGCTCAGGATTGGTCAGAAAGGGCCCCATCAGAGCACCTGCTAACCTACGAGCTACTGTCAGGTATGTATATGGTAAATAGTCGGTTTTATATGACATAATGAACAATTGGCCAGGGCTTGAGGCCCTGCTATTTTATGTTAACGCCAAGCCACTGTCATTCTATTGTCACGCTATTGAGACGCCATTGACATTGGTCAAAATATCAGTATTCTACTAACATAAATTCACAGTGTCAATAGGCTGTCGATATAGTAATATAGGTCATCAATGGTGATATCAACAACATTGCCATACCTGGAAAATTAAATAAATAATTTTCTTACAAATTTAAAATGTACCGTTTACCAAACTGTTACAAAGACATCGACGACATTTTGTATCAGTGACAAGTCATCGGCCATTGGTCTTACATATTTAGTAGAAAAGGAAAAGTGCAAAACTATTCCGGCGACATTCCATCGACAGTCTATGGATACAATATTAAAATAGCCTGATGGTAAGTGGCTACCGACGGTCATGGACACCTACTCAAGATCTACACGTGAGTTGCTAAGCCGCGAACTCACGCGGACGGACCCTGTACGGACACCTTCAGTAAGCGTATCGTGTAGGTACCGTGCGTGAATCAATTAAATAGTTTACAAGTAAAATATCTATCCTTTCTAACATCCATCGAGCAGTGTACGTGACCCGTACATTTTGGTCCTTCGAGCCGGAAATGAACCAGCGATTTATTGATGTACGTGAGCCAAAAAGACCCGTAAAATGAAAAAATACTAGGACATTTCATGAGGTTTGTTAATAAAGACATTTTAAGTAACCTTAACATTTTTTTTCCAGGTGGGATTATCAGCCAGATATTTGTAAAGATTATAAAGAAACAGGATTTTGTGGATTTGGAGGTGAGAATAGAGATCTCATTTTATTTTTTATACAATAACATACAAGCTCAATAGTATGTTTGCATGTGCCTGTAAATACATACATCTATACTAATATTATAAAGCTGAAGAGTTTGTTTGTTTGTTTGTTTGAACGCGCTAATCTCAGGAACTACTGGTCCGATTTGAAAAATTCTTTCAGTGTTACATAGCCCATTTATCGAGGAAGGCTATAGGCTATATATCATCACGCTAAGACCAATAGGAGCGGAGCACCAATGAAAAATGTTTCAAAAACGGAGAAAATTTATTACTATTGAGAGACGCAGACGAAGTTGCGCGGGTCAGCTAGTATTGTATAACTGTATAGTAACTTGAGCCTGTACTATGGTAACCATGTACATATATGGTGGTTTTGGTGTAGAAGAAATAGGAAAAAGCAGACACAGAATAAATGATGTTCATTTGTTCTGTGTCTGCTTTTTCCTATTTCTCATGACACAGTTATCTGTCCTGGATAGGAATCGAACCTCCGTCTTAGCAGTCTGAGTCACTAACCACATAACCAACAGGGCGATCAAATATAATAAGTCATGACTAATGGAAAACAAGAAATGTATTATTTCAGACAAGTTTTTTATTTCTTCTTCCAGACTCTTGCAAGTTCCTCCACGATCGTTCAGACTACAAACATGGATGGCAGTTAGAGAGAGAAGAGGCAGAAGCCAAGGCAGCAGGTGGAGATTCAGATTACGAGGTCTCAAGCGATGAAGATCTGCCTTTTAGATGTTTCATATGTAGGAATAGTTTTACTGATCCTGTTGTTACAAAGTAAGTATATATATATATATATATATATATATATATAAACTCACCCCTGTATCGTTTAAGGGGTAGATAGAGGACGTTGAATACCCAAATCTGGCATCAATAGGAGCAACACCATAACCATTAACCAGACATTTTGGGCAGATAATGTGACACATCTCACACACGGGTATGACCCCAAACTAGGTAGAGCCTGTGATATGGTAACCAGACTGCTGGTAAACATACTTAAATATTATATTACACCCAGACACAACAAATGATCGTGCTCATCACAAAATTATTTGCCCTGGGTGGGAATCGAACCCACGACCTCCTGTTTAGGAGTCAAGGTCACTACCACACAACCACTAGACCAACAGGCCAGTTAGGAATGGAAAGAGAGGGATAATGCTTATAAAATACTAAATAGATTAGGCTATGTCAGTAATAGTTCGAAGTCAGGTTATCCTTTATGACTCGTAATCGCAACAGCAGGCTTTGTAAAATTTGTGGAATGTAGAGTCGTTGTGGAATCCGTTACGGTCGTTGTGGAATGTAGAACGATATTGCTAATTAAAAGCAATTTAATAAATTCGATACGATGTTTGATTTTGGGAACTTGTATTAATACTAATAAAATGTTTTATGATCTGCAAACATTTTTTCGGAGTTTGGGTGTTTTCTACGTATAATATGAACGTATTTACAAAAAAAAAGGTACATAAGTAAGCTAAGCTGTGCTTAGTTTGAAACTAGATGGCGTTGTGTGTCAGACGTCCGAAATATTATTATTATAATCGGCGCGAAGTGACTACCGCCGCTCATAGGCTAGTGATTGTTTGCCACCCTCGTAGTCAAGCTTATTTAATTTTTTTGTTTGCAGATGCAAGCACTATTTCTGTGAGAAGTGTGCTTTGGATAACTATAAGAAATCTACCCGATGTTTCATATGTAATGCTCAAACCAGTGGGATGTTCAATCCGGCTAAGGAGCTGGAAGTGAAGTTGAAGCGGAGCCGCAGCGATGATGAAGATGATGATGGAAATGGTGATGATTAAATGTTTTGTTTGAAACATTGTTTTTTCTTTTAGTACGAGTATTCCGACCTATACGATACACAAACTAATATTATTCTACCCATTGATATATAACCTAGAGGGAATAAGAGCCCCAGTCTTGCAATATAGGCAACGAGAGATGGATGATAGATAGTGCCCTCTATCTCTTTCTAGACGAGCTGTGGTTGGCTCGGGAATATGAGGGGTTAATAACAGAAAATACGCTCTGAGGGCGGCAGAGGCGCGCCCTACTCTGGGCGGTCACAGCCACCGTCCACACCGGTGCTCCATACAGTACCATTCCGGGCCGCTAGGAACAGCTGTGCGGAGCATGGACCGCACAAGAGCGGTATTTTAAGGGGGTGACAAAAACAAATATAGAAACAAAAACGAAACATTGATAACGTAACAACTTACATGTCAAATATATTTTTATTTGGTCAAAATAACGTGTTGCTCGAGAGGCGTCACGGAACCCTCTCATAACGGCTGACGCAGGTGATCACCGGGAAAGGTTGTTTCGGAGATCACCTGTGTCTAATCCGCAAGGAGCCAAAGCCTGAGTGCCACCACTGCGATAGCCGGACTGTGGACACGTTTGACACGTTGGCAGAATGCCCGGCGTGGGTGGAGCAGAGTCGTGACCACGTGGTGGCCATCGGAGTGGGCCACCGTAGGGAGTCATCTCGCTCGATAGTATGATTGTCGCCATGGTACGGAGGGAGAGTGCGTGGAACTACGCCGTCTCCTGCGAGCAAGTTATGCTTTCGAATTAGATAGCGGACCGGGACCAGGAAAGGTTTAGAACTCGGCCAGGTACCGCAGACGACTCAGGCGCCGGAGGTCGCAGAGCGACCTCCGAGCTCCATAAGCGCAGGCCTGGGGGTGACAGGTGAGGCCATCTGTCACCCTAGCAGAAGCAGGCCCGGAGTGGCGGCAAAACGCGCTGCCGAGCGCGCGCGCCCTTTTAGGAGCACAAAGGGAACATGGGGATTCCCATACAGGAGGGGGTCATCTACACACCGTGGATGGCCCGAGGTACGTCGGGGTACCAGGTGATTTCCTTTCTAGGGTACACCTGATTCCCCAGCTACTGGTACCCGAGACGGCGTGCGGTTTTTGGTCGGTTCGAGTCCGACATAATCACCCCACCGGTGGGTGATATCCGAGGGGCATTTCCGCACAGGAAAAAAAAATGGTCATAAAAATGTCGTCTATGGATCAGTTTATGAAAATAAATGCAGGCGTTTATAAGCTCTGCACTGCTTTGTAGAACGTATGTATAATTTGAATCACTCGAGACGAGGAAGCGGGATTCTCAAATCTCCCATACCAGGCGAGAATTTTACGTTACAGATATCCTGGGACACCTTGATCCTGGCACCCTGTTATCGTCGCGGTAAGATCTGTTATGAAAGAAACACGGTACCCTTTCAGACCGGAGGACAGTCAGACATACTCCACAGGAGTGTTCCAAGGACAGTCCGACACTTGAAAGCGATGACCCTGATGTAGCTGAATAACTCACCGCCTCTTCGGCCACGACCCTCGTTTGTAACACAGCACCAATCCTCGAAGGCCCCGCTCGAAAATCAAATTGACCGAAACCTCGCAGAGAAGCCGGACGATGCGGGCAGAGAGAACCCTCTCAAACAACTTATCCGCCTCGTCCTCGTCCAGGAACACAATGAGCCTGTAGGCTACGACCGAATTGGCAGTATGTCTCAGCTTCTTAGGACCAGCTATCCGTTCTTCGAGCACTCAGGTAAGCGTCCGGACGTGAAGCTAGTGTCGAACACCTTAAGGGGGTCTGACATGTGGTCGAGGGCTAGGGTCATCACTCGGGCAGGTATCCCGTCTGGTCCGGGTGCGATGTTCTTGAAACGGATCCATAGAATAGCCGCCGCTACCTCCACATCCGTGACGAGTGCAATATCATCAATCATCATCAATGTGGTCAAGAAAGTATTAGGTATGGGAGTTGAAAGGTACAAGAAAGAGGAAGGCCAAAGAAAAGGTGGATGGACTGTGTGAGTGAGGATATGGCTAGGATGGGAGTAAACAGTGGAAGAATCATACTTACTGTGCGGACCCAAAATCAAATTGTGATAAGGGTAGGTAGGTGATGATGATCAGATACATACATACCAATCTAATAAAAGCAAGTTGAAAAGGCCCCCTCACCCTGTTCCTTGAATGTGTGGTGACGGATTAAGAATACAGAGTGTCACCACCCCTATGCATCCCGTGGGTGTCGTAAGAGGCGACTAAGGGAGCCAAATACGCAGGACAACAGCACTGCAGAGAGAAGGAAAACTTGACACAAACCCTATACCAACCCGTCTGGCCAGCGTGGTTTAGTAAGCCAAAACCTCCTTTCTGAGGAGAGGCCAATGTCCAGCAGTGGACTGTTAAAGGCTGTTGATGATGATGATGATGTTGATCCTGTTACTTGGTACATCAAAATATTATAGAATATTTGATTACTCATAATACTGTTGACGACTGGATGGCGTAGTGGTTTGTGTAACGGACTGCTGTTCCAAAGGTCGCGGGTTCGATTCCCGCTCAAGTCAAACATTTGTGTGCATGAACATTTGATGTTTGATTTGGTCTGGTTGTTTCTATGTATAATATGTATGTATTTACAAAAAAAAAAGTATATATGTATTTATATCAGTTGTCTAGTACCACCCATAGTACAAGCTCTGCTTAGTTTGGGACTAGATGGCGTTGTGTGTATGTGGTAGAATATTATTATTACTGTAATCATTTTACAATGAAAGCCAGTGGAAAATGTAGTATATAAATCATTGTAGTTACATTGACTCCGAATATTTTTTGTCCAAACAAACAACACATCTGTTATCAGGTGTTATTTTTGCGTCTTATTATACAACATATGTTTTTCTAAGATATTATGATTGTTTGATAATCATATTTTGATAATAAACCTTGTTATTTAATTCAGTGCATTGTCCTTGTCACGGCAGTACTTACGCACACTCACGCTAATATCTCCGAAGGGTGCTAGAGATGTGTAAAACGTCAAAACAGGTTAATGTTTTTCTCGTGTGGCCATATTAATATGTTATTAATGCGAACGTGTGTCTGTCTGTCTGTCTGTTACCCCTTCTCGCTTAAACCGCTGAACTGATTTAGATGAAATTTGTTATGGAGATAGTTTAAGTCCTGGGAAAGGACATAGGGTAGGTTTTATCCTAGAAATCATCGTTTAGGGGGTTGAAAAGGGTAGTGGAAGTTTTTATAGGGAATCTATAACCACTGAACCGATTTAGACATACACATACTTTTTACCGCATAGCCGCCATACGCGCGAGCGGAACCTCGGGCAAAACCTAGTCTTATATATAAAATTCTCGTGTCACAATGTTCGTTCCCGTACTCCTCCGAAACGGCTTGACCGATTCTCATGAAATTTTGTGTGCACATCGGACAGGTCTGAGAATCGGCCAACATCTTTTTTTCATACCCCTAAATGGTAAGGGTGACCCATCCTTAAATTTTTTTTTAGGCAAAGCAACGTTTGCCGTTTCATCTAGTATATGTATATTTCTTAGGCACGCGCTATAGTCTAAACAGCTTAATGGATATTGGTTTGAGAGGTGTCGTTGGATTCTTCTTACATGACACCGGGTATATAAAAATTATAAACGTTAAAACCACTTGTTAGAAAATTTTAAGTACCTATAAGTTTTCATGCAGTCGGAGTCTTTTTTTCCTAATGATCTCGTTATTAACACAATATTTGCTAATTATAACTTAAGATTCTATTTACGTGACAAAATGGAAGCTTATTGCCGTCAACCCGACACTGGGGATTTTATGAGGCGATTGGGGTATAAAAAAGAAATGCGTATGGCTTATAAGAATGGAATGGATAATAACTTAGACAAATTGAAACTGAAAAGACAGGTGCGTTGCCGCCCATTGAGTTCCTTCCAGATTTATTGCGACAGGTACTTTGCCACTCTAAAACAGGTGAGCAAAAAGGGAAAATCAGGGTTAAATACGTGTAACTCAGGTAGGCTATTGCCCATTAAGTCCGGGAAAGATCTTGGACTTTCCGACTGTTAATACTTCGAGTTAGAGACAAAATAATAGTTACTATTACGTAATAATGTGCGTAGTGTTTATAGTAAACTAAACTCGTATTGTTTTCTTCGTAATATACTGATAATAAGTAATCTATGACGCTTGAAATCATCTGACGTGTTCCTTAAAAAAAATATTTTCCGGTTTTTTAGGGGGAAAACTAGCAAACGCGTCACTGACATTAAAATACTACCGCCAGCTATTGACAGCTGCAACTCAGAAGTCATAAGTGCGTGTGTACCCGCCAGATATTGAAGAAGGTACTGAGGGGTAAGTCCTCTGGTGGATGTTGTAGGGAGTGTTCCGAGGATTATTAGGACTGATATCGGCACTTTTATCCCATCGTTAAACGTGATAAAACTTCCGTTCCCATTATTTGGATCACTGGTAATGCATGGTGTGTAACGGGTGTATGTAAACCCATTGTTGCCGAATTCGCCAGTGTTAATAACAGAAACAATTTCTTAGCTAATGTGAGGAAATTTAACAAAGAACACACTTTGGAAAACAAGTTAAACACTCAGTTGATTGGAATATCGGGAGATAAAAAACCGGTGTACGTAGACGAGCACCTTCCACCATCATTTAAAAAGCTCTTATATGAAGCCCGCACATTCGCTAAAGTTCACAACTATTCTAGCTGGTATTCCAATGGCAAAATCCTGCTGCGTAAATCCCCGACGGAAAAACCAACTGAAATAAAAACAGCAAAGTGTCTCGCTGTGTTGTCGAAAGGTCAATGACTACACAATTATCTAGTTATTTTTCAATCAGCATGCATAATGATTTTTTTAACAAGTCAGCTTTGTTTATTTTATTTTATTTTATATTTTTTTATTAAGTCAGTTATTCATCATTCTTATGTTGTTATTTTTATTATGGAG